CATGCATACATACATACATGCACATACGCATACGCATACGCATACGCATACACGTATACATATACATAGAAGCATGTGTATATATGCATATACCCACACACACGCACGCGTGCTGTGTGCTTTTGTCTTTGGCTGTACCTCTGGATGAGTTGCGTTGCTTTGCAATGGTTTGAATACATCCGTTCGTGTTTCGATGTGTTGAATATTCACGTTGAATGTCAGAGGCTCAGCTAGAAAAGAGTCTCTTGTTTCCGTAACAGGGGTGTGTGTCTGTCGAAATGTCTGTCTAAGGGCACCTGCTTGCCAGATATAGAATGGCCCCCAAGGGAAGAGCACTGATTAACCAGCGGTCTACGTCATTCCGACAAGAGCCGGATGAGGCTGGTGTTTCAACGGTTCAAGGGAATGAATGTTTCGGTCCAAAATGGTATACTCAAAATATCTTGAAACAAGTAAAGCCCGTAGGAATAGATTGTGGCTGTTGGTTTTACGAGCAAAGCTGTTGGGTGCCAGGTTTGTTGATCCTCTCTTGGTTCTGGTAAGTTGGACCTTGGTTCAGGATTGCACTGATCTTTGTCGTACTAGTTTACTAGCTGCTGCCAAAAACTCTAACCCTAAACCCTAAACCCTAAACCCTAAACCCTAAACCCTAAACCCCCAACCCTAAACCCTAATATTTTGTTGATGGCTGCTAGACTACCGGGTTTCCGTACCTTTGTGCAGAAACCCATAAGCCTAGAGCTTAAGTCCTAAACCGAGCTAATAAGGACAGTCACAATTATAAGTACCTTAATTGGGGCTATAAGTAATTATAGTTACTTTACTTATAACCCTAGTGCCCTAGTTTACCAAGTCCCACAAACGGTTAAGTAGGATTCAAGGGGGTTGGGGTTGAGGATGAATGAGGAAAGGGTTGAGCTTGAGGGTGTGTCAGGATTAGAATCTCAAGCTTTGCACGGCGAATCTCGAACACGGTAGTTGAAATATAAAGTTTGGAAGTGTCTACAACGGCTTCTTCGCTTGAGAATACCAAGGTTTTGATGCAATGTGCGGCAGGAGAACCCTGAACCCTAAGCCCTACCCTAAAGCAAACGATTATTTCGAACACTGCGGGTCAACCCTAAACCCTAATCCCCCAAGCCCCGAGTTTTTGACTCTTCATCTGCTCCGCTCTTGTGGCGGGTCAGAGGCTAAGCGATCGCAACGAGGCTGCAATCTCGGTTTGCTTAGACCTAACGAGTTTCGGGCTTCGGCCGTGAAGGAGTTCCGGGTTTATAGGGCTTAGGGTTTAGGGTGTCTCGGGTTTCGGGTTTCGGGCTTAGGGTTTAGGGTGTCTCGGGTTTTGGGCTTTGGGCTTAGGGTTTAGGGTGTCTCGGGTTTCGGGCTTTGGGCTTAGGGTTAGGATGTATGGGTTTTAGGATTTGGGAACTCTTTTCTCGGTCACGGGTAGTAAGTCGGGCCGCAACTTAACCCCATGATCCTGCAAGTCGCGGTGCTCAACACCCAGTGCGAAACCTGTCACGCCGAAACTGCATCTTCAACACCCCATTTCGAGCGCAACAAAACCCCATAACTGAGACCTACGTAGAGGTTGGTCAGGATCTGCAAAGGGGTCTCCAAGGATTGCGTAGAGGTCGTATGTATAGGCTACAGACATCCAGCCCAAAAAGCGGAGCACCCGCAAGACCCAAATAGACTCTAATCCAAACACCTTGAGCTTTATAAACGACCCGAAAGCCCCCATCAAACCCAAGCTGCTTGACATTTTTATGGCCAGAAGCCTCCATATATCTTGGAATTAGCTTGACCGACCTAACAAAACCTACGTTTTTGTAGTGTCCGTATAGGATCCACATTCGTATTTATAACAAGAACGAATGAAAAAGTAGGTTATGGTAGCTCAAGGTATAAACGACCCAATGCATAAACGACCCACTGCCTTTGCAAACTCTACAACTTCATAAAGGACCCTGGACATATGGAAGTTTCACAAACTAAGCAATTGAGAGACCCCCAACACCACCGAACAATCCGGATCCTTACTTTTAAGGACCCTGAAGCACAGCAAGGCAGCCCTGTTTAGGGTTTAGGGTTTAGGATTTCTGGAAGCCCTCCAAACCGAGGAGGGTTTCGAGTTCAGGGAAAAGGCACTGAGACTTAGGTAAGAGTTAGGATTCGGGGGACCATTGGGAATTTTGACCCTCTCAATAAGGTCCCTTTTAAGAGAGCCACAAGTAGGGTTATGAAGGGTTTAGGGGTCTCCCTAATTCTACCTAGGATCAGGATCATTGGAATCTGGAACCTCGAGCGCTACTGCAGCCCCATCTTGCCCATGGAGCCGCGCAGTCGCTTCAGGTCTGAGTCCTTGAGCCGCCCGATGCCCTCCAGCGCTTCCTGGAATCTGGTTAGGGTTTAGGCTTTATAGGGGTTTAGGGTTTAGGGGCTTAGGGCTAGGACTTTGCGGTGTATGCTTTGACAGACTTAAACTACTAGAACCCATCTATTTACATGTTTTGAGCGTGCTGTTGGGGAACCCTTATAGACTTCAGCATAGCCTACCCAGAGAGCCCAATACCCCTTAATGAAGGACTATACCTTAAATCATAATATTAAGGCCCCTAGAAGTCAAGGTATATTCCATGTTTAAGGGGTATTGGGCTGTCTGGGTACAGGAAAGTAGATTCTGGCATGTTGCTGTAGTCTGAGGACTATATGCTTACAACGGTTCTACAACGAGTGCTTCCGAGCTTTTGCAGAGTCGGGGGTCTTCCTCGTTGCTATCTGCTGGTCACACATTCAAAGCGTATGCCGAGGTAGGCCTGCTGATAGGCTTAAGGTTCAAGATGTACTGTTGATGATATAGATCCTGCATTGCCTTAAGGACCCTAAGCTGTGGGAACTATTAGGTATATTCCTTATTGTGGGTAATGCAGGATTTATATCAGCAACCGTATGTCTTAGTGTTTGAGGTTTAATGTTTACGGTTTATTGGCAGGTTGAACTTGGGGTTGGGGCTGCTAAGGGGGTACGTAATTCTAAGTGCATTGCTGAGACAAGCGGGCTTTGGAGTTGAGCTATATGCTTAAAGACCTTAGACGACCGTTGTAAATCCTGAGAAAGCCCTGACAAAAGAAAAAAAACTATCCTTCGAAGACTGCAGACTAAGTAGAAACCTGAAACTAATTAAATTAGCCTGGAACCCTAGATCCTAAATCCTAAACCCGTTCCTATACCCCAAACCCTACACCGTCCAAAGCCCGAATCCTCTTAAACAAAATGGCAGCCGAGGCTCCTGAGCATCTGATGCGCCGACCTCGGTGGGATTCAAGTGAGGACCGCAAATGCCCGCGCGTGGCGACGTGCAGGGTTTGGGGTTTAGAATGTTTTGGGGTTTCAAAGCTTTAGGCCTCACGGCTTCAAAGCTTTAGGGGTTAAGGGCTTTAGGGTTTTGGAGCTTTAGGGTTTAGAGCTAGGGAGACCGAAAGAAAAAGCCGTGATCCAGCCAGATTGTATATTTGGGGGCCCCAAAGTACCTATGTAGGCACTACTTCATGTTTACATGGACCTTTAGGGGAATGTAAGGCCCATGGCTAATTACTCGGAAGAAAGTTTCGACCATATTGCACTATAGCTACATTAGGGAATCAGCCGATATGTCCTGCAGACCCAGACTAGGACGTTTACGGACATTGAAACCGTGAAGCCCTGCAGGACTGAGGCTCTAAGCCCCGAGAAAACGAGCAAAGGAAAACACAGCCTCCAACGGCTAACCGCAGAGTTTCGACACGCCCTGGAACTCCCTAAACCCTAAACGGACATTAAACCCCAAAGGCTTCGATTCAAACCGTCGCATGCATTTTCAGAACATCAATAGAGGCCTGCTACGGTCCATAACAGTAACCTACCCAGTACAGCTAGCTGGGCTTCTAAGCTAGGCGCTACTTCGGGCATCGAGACAACACTATCATGATAAGGACTAACCTAAACCCTAAACCCCAAACCCTAAACCCTACTCCCGAACCTGAGTTGAAGAAGATCAGCTCTGGGGCTTTGACATTGAGCTTCCATGATCCAGGATACAAGTTTCACCGTACTCAGGATGTATGGCAGAGTTTGCAGTGGGCACCACCTTCTCTCAGAGAGGGCTGCCATAAGGAGATATCTGTAGTGACTGTAATGCTGCGGAACCTGAGAAGATATCGTTTCTACATACAGGCAAACGTTGCCGTTATTTACGTTCTGGAGACCTTACTCGGTAATGAAAACTTGCAATACTCACAATACTATGCGCGGCACTCTGTTTTTCTTTTTCGTCGGATCATCACTGAACTACACTCAACTCTTGCCAGGTCATCAAAATCATAGACACTCGAAGCCAAGGAGCAACCGTGGCCACAGTGGACAGAGCCTTCTCGGGTAGTGTATGCGCTTTGCGAACAATCTCGGCCGGGGTGGATGTGTCACCTTTGCGGGTTTAGGGCTTAGGGGGGCTGTAGGTT